GGTCCTGTCAGCTGATCTATAAAAGGGGAAGAACTAGATTTGTTGCACGATTTCCTTAATAAATGAATATCTGGACCTCCACGAATTGAAAGACGTGACCTTTCCCACTAAACATATAGATTTTGTTTCACTGACATGAAAGGAAAGGTAAATAACGACATCTGACAAAACAGCAAGTCAACAACAAGCAAGACAATGTATTTTATTGGATAAATTAGACTTTAAAATATTGGAGGCAACATTCTGAGTTACACAGAATTCTCCAGGCTTCAACAGTTCTGAAGCACCAAGAAACATGGTCCTATACAGGTTTACTCAAAATTAAGTCTTACTATGTGCAATCAAGTTTGCTCCCAGGTAAACTACTTCCACAAACGATCTCTTATTTACCAACAAAATATTTTAGCTGTTAATTGATTAAGCCGAAATAAACTTACACAGCATCAAAACCTCAACATGGGTGCCTCTTGAGGTTATTGAACAGTACAGTTCCTTTTGAGCAAGAGTTCCTTGCTTGTGGCACAAGAGCAACCACTCACTGTTAAGTCACGAAGGCCACATTTCATAAGTTCTGTGTCATCCTTTTGGGAAATACCAACTATTCTATACATAACAAGAAACCAGAGCCAAAAGTTCAAATCCTGCTTTGTTCTGCTGGAAACCCACATTTAAGGGCTGTATCGTTTATCAATCCAATCCCACAAGTGTTGCCCTACATGCACCCACACTGGACCAGGAACTGCAGATAGGCAATGTACATGAAGTTTCCAGGGATGGGGACTTTTGGCAACCCAGCATGCAGGGGTTTTGTGTGATTCCCAATATAGGCATCGCACAACACTGTCAGACTTGACAGCGTCCAACGCTTGTATGCAAGGGACACGGGAAGTCAATACAGTGGTACCTCAGGTTAAGTACTTAATTCGTTCTGGAGGTCCGTACTTTACCTGAAACTGTTCTTCACCTGAAGCACCACTTTAGCTAATGGGGCCTCCTGCTGCCACCGCGCCGCCGGAGCACGATTTCTGTTCTCATCCTGAAGCAAAGTTCTTAACCTGAAGCACTATTTCTGGGTTAGCGGAGTCTGTAACCTGAAGCGTATGTAACCTGAGATACCACTGTATAGGCTCACAACCCCCATCCTATATAGTAATAGTGAAATCAATCAGTTACAGTCCTTTTGTAGCCAAAATGGTGCCATCCATGTGCAATAGCAAGACAGCAGCAGGCTTGGGGAAGCACAAAAAGCATCCTAAGAGAGGAAGGAAGCCCTCCAAAACAGACCAGTGAGGCTGAACACTGTAGACCTATGTTGGGTGTGTCTGTGTATGGAATGAAGTATCCTGGTTGGTTTGTTGGTTGGTTGGTTGGCTGGCTGGCTGGTACTCCACACAGCAACCTTTTGTTGCAGGTCCCCACTTGTCACTTTCTGTTGGGGGAGAAAGGGGAGTCTGTACTGGCAAAGCCCACAGTGCTATCTGTTGAAAAGCTGAGTCCTCACAGTCAGTCCACAGCACTAAATGCATCTCTCTGGACCAGGGCCACCAATTTCAACTGAGCGCTGTCAAACTAAAATGCCTGTGGGTTCTTACCACTGGAGAAGGAAATCCATGTGGTTTCACCCTGAAATGTGAAATGTCTTTTTTTAGCTTTTGGTTACAAGCTGAAAGCCATCTTTAAAGATTATTTTTCATCAAATCTGGCAGAAGGAAGAGGGAGTCAGTGTGTCTGTGTGCAGTGGTGTGCTCTTCCACAGCCTCGCCCATTGATCAGTGGGCAAATTCAAATTTGTGATTAAGAGTTCGGTTGGTTCAAAGCTTGCATCTCTCTCTTGTCTCTCATCTACACACATACACATACCCGTCTGAAAAAGCTCAGCCATTAAGCCTTGCAAGCAAAGACAAAATTAGAAGTCAGCAATGCTCTTTTTTTGGCAAGGCTTTCCCTTTCCATTCTCCCCCCGCCCCCCACAACTTGTTTTGTGAGAAGCCAAAGAAAAACACTGCAAGGCTGCCAACACAACTTCACACCACTGAACACACACTGGAGCATTCAAGGGAGCCTATAGGAGGGAGCACCACATCTTGCTCTCTGCATACATAATAGCCACAGGCATGTTAGCATTGCAGATCAGCTGTATCTCATTCCTAAGATAAAGCATATGCGATAAGCACTCTGTGACTCATTGCCAGAGTTTTAGATTAGTAACATGTGTTAAAAGGTCAGCGTAGGCATAGCCAACCTCTGCATGCAAACATTCACATCCCAACACAAGACACAGCTCTGCTGTATTCCTCTACCCCCAATGATATCTTCTTCTCAAAGTGATCTAAAATTGGAAGTGTTTTGTTTTGCCTAATAATGGCTTCAAGACAGCCCTTTGCATTCTTCGTTCTGCCCTCTGCCCTCCTTCCAAATAATTCAGTTCAAAATCAGAGTTGAATACGAGCTCCCCATCACACCCACCGACCTCTGAGGCTTCCCACAGAAGTAATTAATTTGCCCCAAGTGTGCCATTGGGGGGGGTCGGAGTTATGCCACCTGACTGCAAAACCACAGCTCAAAATTCATTATCCTTATAATGGCACACCACCACACATGACAGCTCTAGCAACACTTTGTTTGCTATCAACCCTTGTGAAGGAAAAGAGAACTGAGTACTTCCAAGTTCAGCCCTCATTCCTTTCAGCCGAGGACTTTGAGACCCTCCAAGATGGAGCGTGCTTGAGGCTGAAGCCCTTAGAAAAAGCTCTCTATTACATCAGTCACCTGATTGCAGGGATTGCAAGGGGGAGGTAAGTGGAGGCACATAGGCCAGGCAGCAGACTAGAGGGGTGGCCAAACAGCATCCTGTCCCATGGACAATGTGGTGTGAAAGAGAGAAGAAACAGGTGAGGCATGGCCACAACACATGCTTGATGACTCCATATGTTCTGCTTATGAGAAGAGGTGGGTGGCCGCAGCATGCCCCTCTCGCCATATCACTGTCAGGGACCTTGGTCATTGTCAGGGACCAAGAGGGGCATAAAGGAAGAGGCCCTGACAAGGACACAGCATAGCTAGCTCCAGCCCATCCCCCCTTTTACTTTTTGCCATAGTGCTGACCAGGTGTTAACTGCTGATGGGCAACTTCAAGGTCCCTGCTATCCTTTCTTAAAGCATCAATTGTATTTGGACCAGACAGTCCAAATTGGACAGGGGATTGTCCACTGTAAAGTAGCACACATGGCCACCCATAATTTAGGAGCCGTGTTCACCACAGTACCAGATGCCTCCATCCCACATCACCTGCACTTTCTCCCCTAACACACATCTCCAGCAGCGGGGTCTGAAAAGCAGAGCCAGGAGAGCCTGCCCTTCCATCGCTAACCCACCTGAACAGTCCACAGCCTCAAGTCTCTGAAGAAAGGGATCCCATTCAGGATCTGTATTAGGGATGAAGTGGAGAAGGTACTTTGCATCTATCTCCTTCTTTCGAACCCAACTTTTGGGCCGGGAAGCTTTGGGTCAAAATTTTAATGAACTTTAAGGAAGCTTTGGGTCGAAACTTTAAGGAACACACTGCAACGTCCTTCATAACCCTGGGGCTGCCTTTCAAAGGTCACTTGTGGGTTCCAAAGCAGACAGAGAAAGACTCATTGACAACTTGGGAATGGATCCTGAATGCACTCAATAGGCTTCCCAATGAATCGAGGAGAAAGAAAGAAAGAAAGAAAGAAAGAAAGAAAGAAAGAAAGAAAGAAAGAAAATGCTCTCTCTAGGGAAGGGAACAGACAAAGCTGTTCAGATTTCAGATATACCTGTTTTTAGCAGAAGGGCAGTGGCCTGTTGTATGGAGGGGGGAAAGCAATCTGTCTAGGAAACTTAAAAGCTTTTCAATGAGAGATGCAGCACCAAACCTATTTGACTGCTGAATTCTCTCCCATTGAGAGACTAATAAAGTAAGTCTAGCTCCAGTCATTTCTTTGCACATTCACAATGCCATTGCAGAGCCAGTTAATGCCAGAACAAAGGGGGGAATTTAATAAAAGGCTCTCCTTTGGCAAGAAGAATCCACAGAGGGGCGGAGGGGGGGGGGAACACCTTCAATTGTATTATTGGGAAAGATGTCAAAAATCTCAGTTTTCTGAAGATGAACAATACTAGAAAAGGAAAAATGTGAGACCTGAAATGCTACCTATTGCTTTCCCCCTTCCTTTTTCCACCCTCCCTAAATGTCAGCCACATTTCGTAGATATGGAAGCAAATTATGTCCAATATCCAGAACGTGTCAATCATGAAGGAGGCCATTTCCATCTGCCAATTATTTTGCACTCATGAGCCTCAAATAACAAGAACAGTTGGGAGTTTGTGCAATGCAGACAACTGTCTGGATAAAAATCAATTATGAAAACAATACTACAAACCCAACATTAGGCAGCAGGATTAACAGATTTTGGCCAGTAACAACCTGAGGCAAATTTGGCTAACACGCTGTATTTTTAACATTGCCTCAAGATTTTGATTTTCGTTGAGGACCGTATAAAATAACCCTAGGAGTTTCCAGCCCATGTTTTAGTTACTAAGCAAACACAGGGCTCAAAATTTAATCATTTTAATGTGGGTTGTTTTTGGTTTTTTTAAAAAAGCAATAACTCCTCTTTCCACTGCTCAGTCCCGCCTTGCATACAGGCACTAAACAGGAGGAGCAAGGTTAGTAAGCTTATGTGCATGCATGAAAACACCTCCCTCCCATTGCATCCCTTCTGGAACCAGGCAGCTCTGCAAACACCAACATAGGGAGGTGGGTCTTGGACCTTCACTACTGTGCAGCAGCCCCATGTTACCTCAGAGTAAAATGGCTACTTGTATTCACTCCAAAGTCAACGGTTGTGCTGAGGAGTCAAGCTTAAATAAAAGTACAGCTAGGTAAAATTCAGAATTTTAAAACTGTCCTGGGTTGTTGGGGGAGGAGAGACAGAGAGTGGGGGAAGAATTGCATGTGTTAACAACAGGAAAACTGGGATAGCTCAGTCAGTAGAGCATGAGACTCTTAATCTGAGGGTTGTGGGTTCAAGAACCACACTGGGCAAAAGATCTCTGCATTGCAGGGGGTTGGAATAGATGACCCCTGTGGTCCCTTTCCAACTCTACAATTCCATGATTCTAAGATAAATTGGGGTGGGGGTGGGGACTTGAATAATTTTTCGGATGTATATTTGAAAATATGAAGGTACAGGATTCCTTGTGATAGCTCTGCATATGCCGAGGAAGGAGTATCTGATGGCTCAGAGCTTTGTATACACCCGCCAATGTGTGCTAAAAAGAGGAGATCTAGCAAGAAACACAAAAATGGAATGAGCCTAAAATACGTCTAACTAAAAAACAAAGAAAGCAAACAAACAACAAATAGTCTATTTAGGAGGAGAAGGCTGTGGGACTAAATGAGATATGAATTCAGTCATGTGAAATGTTAAGCAATTACTCCCTCTGCATATGCAGAGGGATCATCATAGGCAAATACCACCCGATATTTGTTCAGAGAACTATTGTCCCACATGATTACAGGGTTAGGCGAGCAGCAGTGATATGCAAGTTGTGCACAACCATTAAACCTCTTGAAGTGGAAGAGATTTATTCAGGGGCAGCAGCACAAAAAGAAAGAAAGGGCTGTGTGACCTGACTTGCAATCATCTTCCATAAAAGAAGAGTCAAAAGAGAGGACAAAGGCAAGAAAAGGTTAAGATTCTCTTTAAAAGCAGCAATAAGAGTGAGGGATTTACACCTATAGCAGGGCTTCAACCCCATTATGCTAAACAGCAAACATACACAGGGAGAGTGGACATTTGCAGAATGAAGAGATTAAAGCAAACTGGAGATGAAGTCTGCATTTGACCTTGGGACTTCTCAAGAGCAGACCCATTAATTTTAAACGCCTTGCTTTAAATCAATCAGTAGACAGCTTCAGCATCAGAACCCGTTCAGAAAAGAAAGGAAGATTATAATGTATAGCTACTGCATTTTCTCCTAATACACACAGGGAGAGGGGATGAAAGGTACATTTCAGTGTCACTATGAGAAAAATCAGTATCTCTCTAAAATTCTGCCCATATGAGCTCCCCTTTCATTAGACCATCTTTTTAGGCTCTAGATACAAGAACTATGCAGGTTAGGTGGGTGGTAATTTGGGACACGAATCTCACCTGTGGTGGCAGTCAGATTAAATGCCCTTTCCACAAATCTTCTATATTAAGCACACTCCCTTCTGGTGTTTAGGCAGCAAACAAAAATGTAGCTTGCCCAGGCAATTCAGCAACTGCTGTTTTTACATGGCTACCTATTTGTTCTATTTTAATTTATTGTTCGATGAGCTTTTCATATGTTTTAGAAGTAAGTTTTTAAGCCGCCTTGAAATTCTGTTGCACTCAAAAGGTGAAGAAATGTTTCAAATAAAGCAAAGTAAAAGAATCTCCAGCCTTGTGACAAGACAGCCACATCCACACAGCCTTTGATGGTAACAAAGAAATATATATATATTCTGCATGAAGGAAGCAGTTATATGGTTTTCTTGAACTCTTTATTAATCAGAACTAATATGAGGCGTGTGCAATTTTAGATGCTCCTGATCAGCCTTTGGCAGCTGATGGGAGATGGGAAAAACACAAATTAATGTTGCTGCTTTTTGGATGTAATGAGATGCATCAGAGAACAGTTAGAAGATGCAGAGGAGCTCTTGCTGTAAGTACCAATAAGCTAACTGAAACTTACAGCAACTCTTGTAGAGCGAGATCCTGTACTTAAAAAAATTCTTTGCCCTTTTGTGTTGCCATGCAAGGCGACACTAAAGCATACAGAAAATTTAAAAGCATATATCTTTTCTTCTTCTTTATTTTACCTGCAACTTGATTACCTATGTCAGGTATAGGAAAGGTGGGCATGATTTCCCCAAATTGGCTGGAGAGGACAATCTCCAAGGTCTGGCAAATCTAATTAGACTTCTGGGTTAGAGGTTCCCCACCACCCGTTTAACTGAGCAGCCGAGAACTTTCAATAAGGGATCCAAGAGGAGCAGGATAATTGGATGCTATACAATATATATGGGCAATATTTTCTGCTGCCTCTTCAGAAAACAGGTATTTACCACCCGGCCTCGGGCACTTCTAGCTTAGATGTCACCCATGAGAATCGCAAGAGATGGGGTGGGGTGAGATATTATGAAGAAACTCATTTGCCATAAAAGCCAGGACCAGGTCAAATTAAGGGCAATAATAAACAAGCTGGAAAAAACCCCAAACACACACATCCATGTGTTATATGCTGAAGGGAACTACAAAAAACACCGTGAAAAGCGCAAAGAAAGGAAGATGAATTAGTACATGCAACACAGCATCAAGCAAAGTTGCTGAGGTGGACCCACCGGAGCCATTTAGCAAACAATAGATGCCTCCTAGAGGAAAACCATATATTACAAAGATTAAGCATCAGTGATTAAATGGCCATATACCCTGTTGTTTCTACTATTTCTTATTATTTTCCAATAACCATACAGAACTGTGTGGCAAAACAGCGCCCTGAACTTTTGTCGACCTTTGAAATTTGAACTTGTGAGATGGGAGTTTACTATCCTCCTCCTGCCCGAGAAAGGTCAAGACTGAAGAGGGTTTTTGTTATTTTGTTCTGAAGAAGCTCTCCCCTTGCAACCATTGACAATTATAATGTGATACATTATGATAGCGTACAGTGGTACCTTGGGATGTGAACGGGATCCGTTCTGGAGCCCCGTTCACATCCAGAAGCAAACGTAACTAGCGACGGCACGTCTACGCGTGCACCGCTTTTCGCCGCTTCTGCACATGACGTCATTTTGAGCGTCTGCGCATGCGGCGAAACCCGAAAGTAACACGCTCCGTTACTTCCGGGTTGCCACGGAGCGCAACTCGAACACTCTCAACATGAAGCATATTCAACCCGAGGTATGACTGTATATCATAATGTGATACAAGGGTGCATATAGCCCTTTGCAAGCTGGATGCTTGGCCATAATGAGAGAACTGTACCTCCTACAATACATCTGGGTCAGATGTGTGATAAAATACACTTATATAGTAGTAGTAGTAGTAGTAGTAGTAGAAGAAGAAGAAGAAGAGTTTGGATTTGATATCCCACTTTATCACTACCCGAAGGAGTCTCAAAGCAGCTCACAATCTCCTTTCCCTTCCTCCCCTACAACAAACACTCTGTGAGGTGAGTGGGGCTGAGAGACTTCAAAGAAGTGTGACTGGCCCCAGGTCACCCAGCAGCTGCATGTGGAGGAGCGGAGACGCGAACCCGGTTCCCCAGATTACGAGTCTACCGCTCTTAACCACTACACCACACTGGCTCTGTATATAGGGTATACAGATGTGGCTATATATATATATATTGCTGGACTTTCATCAGCTCCAGTCAGTATGGTTAACAGCCAGGAATGATGGGAGTTGTAGTCCAGCAACATCTGGAGGACAGGTTTCCCATCCTATATCCCACCTTTCCCCTAAAGAGCTCCAAGTGACATAGAATCATATAACTGTAGAGATGGAAGGGACCACGAGGGTCATCTAGTCCAACCCCCTGCAATGCAGGAATCTCAACAAAAGCATCCATGATCCAAACTCTGCTTAAAACCTTCAAAGGAGGAGAGTACACCACCCTCTAAGGGAGTCTGTTCCATTATCTAACAGCTCTTGCCACCAGAAAGTTTTTCCAGATATTTAGTTGGAATTTCCCCTCTTGTAACTTAGAATCATAGAATTGTAAAGTTGGAAGGGATCCCGAGGATCTTCTAGTACCAACCCCCTTCAAGGCAGGAAGAAACAGCTGTCCCATACGGGGATCAGACCTTGGCGTTATCAGCCATTGGTTCAGGTACTACTCTCAGGAGCAGGAGAAAACAGGATGGCTATCACATCTCCTCTCAGTCTCTTCTTTTCCATGCTAAACATACCTAACTCCCTCAACTATTCCTCATAACATTTGGTTTCCAGACCCTTGATCATCTTGGCTGCCCTCCTCTGTACACGTTCCAGCTTCTTCCATTGTGGTGCCCAGAACAGCACACAGTACTCCAGGTGCAGAATATGACTATTACTTCCCTTGATCGAGATACTATACTTCTGTTGATGCAACCTAGAATACCAGCTTCTCCGTAATAATATCATGGGGGACTTTGTCAAAGGCCTTACTGGTAAGCTTCTCTAGGAAAGCCACTTCCGGACCTGGCCCAGGAGGTGGGGTTGCGGGCTTCACGCCCACCCCACATGAGCGGGGGCTGGTTTCAGCCCCCGCAAGAGCAGGGGAATCCCGTCCGCGTCATCCACCCAGCCAGCCAATCAGGTGGCTGGGGGGGCATGGCCTGCACTATTTAGGGCCAGCGCGGCCGGGGTTCGCCCTCTTTTGCTGGCTAGCCCCCACGTTTTCCCACCCTCCCTCCCTTTAGGTAGGTTTCTGACTTTGCTATGGACTTCGGTCTGTCGCCGCAAGGGGCATGGTAGGAATTTTTCCCAATTGGCAATTTGCAGCCATTTGGTTTTTCGCCTACCTCGTAGCAACTCGTCACAACTCTTCGGCATTGGCGGTTAGGCATTGGTAAGAAGGGGTTAAGAGGATGGGGGGGGACGCCATCAACTCCCCCCAGAGAACGAAGGGTGGTCCGGTAAAGGACTCCGGGGGGCGTGGCCCTGTCCGAAGCCTATGGAGGTGTGGGCCTAAGGCACGCCCCCGAGCAGTGACCCGGGGGAGCTCCTAGTTGACGTGCCTCAGCAGGAGACTCCCCCACTATGGTGTTAACCCTTCCCGTGTCTCCAGCAAATGGGCTGGAGCCGGATAGTCGATAGGACCAATGCCTAAGCCAATACCTCTCATTCCTGAATTCAATAAAGTTGTGGCCTAATTCACCCATTTAACCTTAAATTCTGGTGTCTTGTGTCTTTATTTATCCTTGGTGGGGGGCAGGAACTCGCCACGCAAGGAACCTGACGGCCCTGCTTCTGTATGACATACATGGTTTTTCCTACAACCTAATGTTTTATCTTCACAACAGTGCTGAGAAATAGTGAG